AAGTACAGTTTTTCTCTGCAATGGGGACCAAAGCAGCTTACATCGTTCTCCTCTCCCCCTTTTGACTTGCAGAACAACCCTGTTAGATAGGTTAGGCTTAAAGTCTGTGACTTTCCATTTTCACAGTTTATTCTGACAGGAAAGTGGCCAAGCTGGCAGTGGGCAGGGGAGGGGGTTATGCTGGAAGTCTGTGACTGGTCCGAAATCACAGCTTCCACAGCAAGAACCTGGGTCTGGCAGATCCTGCTCTGAAGCGCTAACTGCTATGCCTAGGGTAGCCAGCCTCTAGGTAGAACCTGAAGATCGCTGGGTATCACAACTGAACTCCAGACAACAGATCTCTTACCCCCGGAGAAAATAACTGCTTTGGAGGGTGGGCTGTATGGCATTCTGTTCAGCTGAGGCCTCTCCCCTCCCCCAAACTCTGGCTTCTTTGGACACAGATCCAGGAATTTCCCAACCTGGAGCTGGCAACCCTAGTCAGGACTGGCCCCAATGAGTTCCTCACAAAGGACTGGAAAGGGTTTCCTTCCTTTGTCTTTTTACTGACAGAACCAAGCTTGGTTGCCTACCAACGGCCACTGAGGGAAAAGTTAGTCCCACAGAGGGGCCAAGCAGGAGAAGTGTCTTCGTCAGGAGAGACAGCCGTTTGCCAGTTATTCTGACAGGGAACAGTGGCTGGAGTGGGTGGGGAAGAGGAGCAGACCCAGCACCCAGCCAATGGCACGCGAGTACTCTTGAGTGGGGCTGATGGGCCAATGGCTGATGCAGCACATTGCACAGCCAATCGGAAAGCTGGAAATGGCCAGTATGCTAAGAGTATTGTTATATAGAGATATGTACATATGAGGACTTTGGATTCTAATACAGGTTTTGTTTTGAGGCATAAGCACAGGTCAGTTTGTATTAGCTTTCTGTATAAAAACATTTGAATGTAAGAATTAATTTAAAGAAATTGTGAGCAATGTAAGGCCTCTTATAGATGTGGTTTCCTTTTCCCCAAGCAAAAACTGTTGGTGTTCAGAGAGACTTTTAGTGTGTTCTGCATTACTCATTGAACAATTCTTTTCATGACTTTCTTTAGGAAATGGTGTGGTAATTCACTTACCAGGGTTGTTTGAAGAAGCAGAGAAAAATGTTAAAAAAGGAAAAGGTGAGCACCACTTTCTAAGATACTATTGCAGGGAGATGTTAGAAATCCTCATGCATTAGTATATAGCAAAACTCAGTGTCTTTGCTAGTGTACTATTCCTATTCAGTTGTATTATAGTATCCAATTGATACACTGGTAAAAATGCACATTTAATTCACATAGGCTTTCTTTTTCTTCTTAACATAATATTTAATTGTTTCTAATATTCACTATGTACCTAAATCACGAGTGCACAATATGCAGTTTAGAGACATGCCATTTAGCCACAGTTCATTGTTGGTCTTCTGTGCAGTCCAGCTGATTGGAAAGTTTTCTAGCCGTTTCTAAGCCTGAAAATGATGAGGAGGCAGCCCCTCCCATATCGAACACATTGAGGACTGTTTTCCTTCCCAAACAGTCATGTGCTCTGGGGAGGTGCTCCCTCATTCCCTCAGTTCGTTCTTAGTCGCCATGTCGGAAAGATCATTTTTCTAGCATCTATGATCTTCTTGCTTCTCCATTGCTTTTAAGATTCCTCAGAGACTTGGTCAATATGTCTCAAAAATCCTTGTTTAAAAAATGCTTGTAGTGTGTGACCAAAATGAGTAGTTCTGACTAACACTCCCTTTGCCTGATTTGCCTGAGTGAGGGGCGTAACATTGTGGTCTGTAAAGTAAATGCATTTAGTTTGATCACATGTCCCATTTGAAAGCTGCGCTTTGGGAGAGCGCTCTGTCTAGTTCTGAAGGCCTGGCAGCAAAGAAATCTGCCTCGGCAGAACAAAGTCTAACTTCAGTTCTAAAGTTGGTTCCTCTAGTGGAGTGGTCATCATGGCCATCTTCAGCTATCTCAATTCTGTCAGTTCTGGCATCTGATCCAGTCAGAAGGCATTCAAGGTCTCCCAATCTGCAGCCTTTAGAGATCTTCCTCAGAACCGCTACTCCAAAAGGCAAAACACAAGACTTGCCATAAAGAAAGGCAGCTGTCAGTTCCAGCAGAGCCCAAGAGACTTTCAGAACGAGTCCCTCATGTGGATCCAGAGGAGCTCCCTCCACCCCGGACCCTGTCGGTTCACTCCCACTTGATAGCTCCCTCACTTTTTGAATTTGACCTTGGAACCGAGACTGGAGATCCCATTGATGTTCTCCCTGTGAGACTGCTGGATCCACTTCAAAACCATCATGGTCTCTAGCATTCTTGCTGGTTCCATAGCATCAATATCCCTTCTTCTATCCTTCCCCCTACCCACAGGAGTGAGGAGGTTATACAAGGCCTTCATCTTGCTTGGAATGGACAGATATCATCTAAACCAAGGAAACATCCACCGGTTCCTACTTGGTGGGCCCCACTGCAGCCATACCAAGTGACCCTGGTTGTTCTTTCTGAAGAGGGTTCCTGTTCTGGTACTAATTCCAGCCTTTCATCCAATCCATCACGGAATGACATGGTGGGAAGACCCAGATTCCATATCTTCAAGTGAAGATTTGCACCTGTACTCAAAGCAGATGATGAGGATGGCCCAGTTCTTACATATTAAAATTACCTCTATGAGGTGCTAATGTGTTAAGCCCTAGATGCCAACTGAGATTTTGAACCTCTAATCTCAGGTTGGGAGGGGGATTATTGTAGAGGTTCTGGTGGCATATTGTTCTGAATCCAGAGAGGGTAGCCTACCTCGGTGGGTTGTTGTTTAATGTACTGCTAAAATACAGGATTACCTCTCATCCCTGGACTGGCGTTAGTCTCCATGGGCTTCCCCTGTTGTCTTGGACTTATTCACTTTGAGTGTCAACATGAAATCTCTTTTGTTTTGCTCCAGGGCAGGCATCAACTTCCTCTCTATAGTGGACACTTTCCAACACTATGGGTGGGCTCCCTCTTTTATGCTTTCCCTGATTGCCTCTAATAGAGAGGGTAGTGTCTGAACTTTGCATGGAGGGTTCAATATGCATTCTCACCACTCCTTTTTGACCCCAGCAGGTGTGGTTTTAAGTGCTTCTATAATTGTCCAAGGGCAGGCTCTCCCACCTTCCCTTAGCTCTGGACCTTCTACACACAGGGGACATGTTGCATCACAATATCAATTGCCTCCATCTGGCAGCTTGGTTGAGCAATCTGAGCACTTACCATACTCTGAACTTGTAGTGCTGTTAAGTGCCCGTGGACCTTCCACTAGAATCTCATGTGATTACAAGTGGAAACGCTTCACTTCATGGGCTGCTTCCAAAGGTGGGTCTCCAGCCACTTGACCTTTGCCTTTGGTCCTAGACTACCTCTTATCATTAAACTCTACAGTGTAAGTAATTTCCTCTGTCAAAGTTCACATGGCAGCAATCTCTGCCTTTCATGTTCTTATAGGTGGTAAATTGCTTTTTCCCCAGCATACTTCTCAGATGTTTCTTAAAGGTCTTTGTAATTTATACCCGCTGAGAACACCCCTACTGCCTCAGTGGTCTTTGTCAGTGGTGTTGGCTCAATTAATGTTATCCCCCTTTGAGTCTTTAGTGTTTTGTTCTTTTTCCTCCTTACACTTAAGGTAGTCTTTCTAGCAGCCATTATTCTTCTTCCAGAAGAGTTTGTACTCCTTGTGCCCAGAGTGAGGGAAGCCCCCTCCCCTGTGAGAGGGACACAAGGCGGGGGTCACTTGGTAAATGGATTTCTGATTGTGACTATATGTGTCAGGGCCTGGTCATATTATGGAATTTTGCAGTGCAGTCTGCTTAGCTCCAGATGAGGTACGTTGTGGCATGCATGACTGAGTTTGACCCTTTGCTATAAATGGTACATTTACTACAATAGTCTGAAATGCAAATTATGCTGTTTAGTTCAGAATGAAAAAAATCCTTGTTTTAGTGGACGGGAATGCCGGATAAGTGTTAGCATTTCTAAATGTTTCTTTTTAAATCCTCAAACCACTTGCTAAATAGATCTAACATTTAAAAGTAATGTTTACCATGTACATTTCTGTAAGTTGTAGTGTTCTATAGTCCCAACATTGGATACATACACTTTTTTCAGGTATTCTGTGTTTAAGAGCTACATCATTAATAAATTTGTTCGGGTTTTTCTAAAACATACGGAGTTAATTTTGTGGTGGTCTCTCTTTTATCTCTCTTTCTAAAAGTTATTAGATATTATTCTGCATCATAAAATCAAATATTAAAATTAAAATTTCTTCTCTTTAAAGGATTAGAAGGCTGGGAAAAAAGACTAATTATATCTGACAGGGCTCATATTGGTAAGTAAAAGTATATAAAAGAATCATAGAATCATTGTATTTCTAATGTCTGATTTGTTTTTTCATATTTTTCAAATAACTGGTGGTAATATAGGATCCAAAAGTTGTATAGAGAAGTTTCATGTACATAACAGGACATCTGTGGTGCTTCCCCTCCCACACTCTATTATTCAACAAATAACTCCTGAACTGGCTGTTTCTGAGTATAGCCTTTAATAACACAATATAATTGGGGACAAAGCAGTTATCTGTTCTTAAAGGGCTTTTTGGATTCCCAACAGCTGTTTTGTATTCTCATGACATCTGAATGAGCAAGTGTTTTACCTAATTTACATGAAAGGAAGAAAACCCTGAATATAAGGACCCCCTCCCCCACCAAATACAAGAAGTTTATGGTTAAAAGCAGTTGACCCAGAATTTAAAATGAACCTTCCTAAAAAAGATAGCAGTACAAATATTTTTATTGCATAGTAATCAATATACAATATTGAAATATACTGGGGTTCGCTTATGTAGATAAATGCAGTCACTCAGCAAAATAAATTCTGAAGACCAGGTTTAAAAAAGAAAACTACTGGATTAATTAGAAAAAATTAGTCGTAGTAAAAGGGATGTAAACAAGCAGGAAACATCCAATCATAACAAGCAACGGCAAACAAACAATAAAAAGCCAGGTAACAGGACCAATGAAAACAACTCACTTCTGTGAGGCCAATTCCTTTAAACTGTCCAATATCAGGTAGGAGAAACTGGATCATTTCAGCCCAGAGTATAGCCGGCCCCACCTGTGAAGCCTAATGAGAGAGTCCCTCGCCACAGTAGCTCCCTCTACTTAGGTCCATTCCGGCCGCCAGCTGATAAGAATTCAGCTCCCTAATTAACCCTTCTGGCTTGCAAAAAGATTAGAGAGGTTTACAAGGAGGATTCTCCCCCATAATAAAATCTCACAGCTGAATATAATGAACATGCAAGGCTAGGTCCTACAACATCTGTTCTTTACAACTGGGTTCAGACGTGTTGAGTGATTCGCTCATAGTTTATTGGTGGTTTCAGCTCAAACTAAAGACAACTCTAGAAGGGCCGGAGCCCTGCTTATAAATCCGTGAAACGGCCCACCCATCACACACCCACTCCCAACAATAGGCTATTTACAGAGGCACTCCTGGGTGATAGGTCCATCCCAGGATCCTAGCTGTCCATTGTTCTGTGTCCCCAAGCTGGGGCTGACAAAATTAGGCTCAGTACACAACAAATATACAATAAAGATATAAACTAGAGAAGAAGAAAATTACTTTCACTCTTTACACATCTTTGTATTGTAGCTCTTCGCAAATAGTATTGGATCACACTGTTTCAAATTTTAAAAGGCAACAGTGGCCCCGTGAGCCCAACTGCTAGACAGAGGCTGAGATAACAGCTGATGAACTGGCAGTGCAGTCCTAAACAGAATTACACCTCCTTTAAGTTAATTGAAATTTAAGTTAATTGAAACAGCTTATAAGGCTGTTACTCTTCTTGGGAATGCATTATTACATACACGCACGTGTGCTTTTGGTAAGCTAAGAAGTCACACTTTTCCGGGAGAATGTATTATATCCCCAATCCAGCAAGGATGTTTTCTTCCATCCTTATCTAAAATGTGCACAAACTTGTAACAGCTATAGAAAATATTGTATTAAATTGCTGTAAAACTTGTGGGCTTTGTGGATTTTTCTCTTCTGGAAAAAAAAAAAGCTGAACTACTAGGCAACTTTACCTGAAGTACAAGGGGAAAAAATAAAAGCTGGTGTGGAGTAAAATTCTGAGACAGAAACATGGGACAGCACTACACCCACTGTTCTTCCTGCCTCTTACCATTTTCCAAGCAAGGAACTGCAGTTTCTGAAACCATCCATCTCCTCCTCCTCTTCCCTCGAAACTCAAAGGAGCCAGAAAGGCACTATTTGCCAGACATTGCACATAGAATTATAGAATGTTAGAGTTGGAAGGGACCTTGCAGGTCATCTAGTCCAACCTCCTGCACTCTGCAGGAGCATAGCCGAAAGATAGCCCTACAACATACCTGAAAGATGGTTGTCCAGCCTCAGCTTGAAAACATCTTTCATTGCCACTCCTCTCTGCTGGTGAATGAATCTGCATGTTTCCTCCAGTGTTCTCCATGCATGCAGTGAATCACCATTCACATTAGTCCCCCCCCCCACTTCAGCATTGTATCATTCAGCATATTTCCTAACTGAAAACTCACAGTAGGTACACTAGAAAGGTTTGTTGAAGCTCTGCTTCCAGGACTAGTTTTTTGGGTGCTGAAAACTGATTTAATCTAGCTGTCAGGTTGCATCTCAGATTCTTAAAACAGTAAGCTTTCATATCTGTCTAAATTTAAACTGATTTACAGTAGTATGTGTTCTTTAAGTAAATAGTCTTCCAACCATTCATTTAGGGAGCACTTTTGAGATCTATCGTTTGTGACACACATATGAACAGCCCCACCCAGTGTTAGAGAATGAACTTGATATTTTGCTTTATGGACTATATTGCTACACACAATGGACTGTGCACACACACACACATAGGCTCAGAGAGCTGTACACTATAAGTCACCTGTTGTGATGCAACACATAGAAGGTGCCTGCACAAGCCTTACACGTGTAAATAAGGTTTTAGCTACACAGTTACCAGCCTGGTGAAGAAGCACACACCTCCATTATTGTGAGCAGTAAGAAACAACAGCTTTGAGAAGAGACAGCCCCCATTGCAGAATTATTTGTGGTCATGTAGGACACATCACTGCTTTGTTCCTGCATTGGTATTTCCTGCCAAATGGACATTTGGTTCACAAAGAGAATGGCCAGCTTCATCTACACTACAATGGAGCATCCTGACGCCAAGGTTTTCACACCTGCCCAGATGTTCTCCTTTGAGTAAGGTTTTAGATTAAAATACTGGCCACTCCTTATAAGTAACCTTCCACTCCTATAGGCAACCAATAGGATTGTTTTTGGGACGGACTAACAGGAAGGTGGGTCCACAGATTGGAACAGTTACCTCCCACCTAATGGATCCCCTATAAAAGGAAAGGACCATTCACCTGGCCCTTCCTAGCTAGCAACCCCCGCAACAACACCTGTCTGCTTTTTACTCCTCTTAAATCCCACTTGCTATCCCCAAACCCTTGCCTCTACTTTGATCTCTTGATCTGCAGTCAAGAGACCCACACGTTCCGGCTGGTTCTGGTCGTGTGTGAATTCCCTAGTTTACATTTCTTCCCATCAACCAAAGCTGCGGGGACAGATAAGTACTGCCCATCATCACCCCCACCTGCTAATGCAAATGTGCTTATTTTAATACTGTATTTCTAAGGAACTTGATTGAATGTGTGAGTGCATCAGTATTGTTTGTATGAGATTTATTCTTTAAGTAAAAGACATTTATTTTAACAACAGCCTCGTTATCCTTCTCTGGTAACCCTTGGTGGGAACAGGACCTTGGTATAGTTGGCAAGGACCCATTTATAAATTACCAATTGCTGTAAATAAAGCAATTCGGCTAACACCAGATACCTGCATTATTCACATACTCTGTGGCTGGCTGTGTGAAGGGGGCATCTTGTTTCAAATTTTTAATGTTTTTTATGAAATGCATTAAGTTTGGTCACTTTGATTTTAACCACATGACAGTCTCCACTGAATCTTGTTATAAAACAGCACACCTTTGGACTTAACTAGTTTTAAAATATCCTTGATGATAAACAATGGTTTATCCCTTAAGTATTTGGCTGGCAAGATATCATTTATGTTTGGAGTTGGCTTTTGTGTTTTTCACAATGAGTAGGATGATTTTTAGATCCTTATGATATCTCTGGATCTTAAGAAACATAATTTTTTAAAAAATCATTGTTTGAATCACATCTGTTGATTTGCATGCATGTACTAGAGCACTGCTTAGGTTTTGCTTGACTTTTCTGTACTCAAAAACATGAAGTACTTTGCTGTACGAATAATGTATTTTTATTAAGTGATATTTATATATGTAATGAAAATTCTAACCTCAAAATACACTGTTTGGGGATAAATGAATTAGAAATACTTGCACAATTTCAGTTTGATAGTTGTATGTATACAGAAGAGTTCATTTTGTACCCTTCAAATTCCCTAGTATTTGACTTCCATCAAGCTGCTGATGGCATTGAAGAACAACAAAGGCAAGAACAAGCAGGAAAGAAGTATGTTCTCTTTTGTCAAATGTGGGGAAAACTATTTACAACAGTACTGCAAATTAAGTCTTAAACAGTAAAATGGAAGACATTTTAAAATAATGTGAAGGGCTCTTTGGCCAAATCACTTACAAGTATAAGTCCTGTTAAAGATGCCCAGTAGTACTATTTATTTGTAAAATGTTTATCCTGCCTCTTAGCCATAGGCCTTCAAGGCAGCTTTTAATAGAAAAAAAACATACAAGGCAGTAACACCTTAACATCACATACTAAAACAACATACCTTTATTTCAGTAGCAGAAACATCCACAGCAGAGTAAAGAAAAGAAAATAATTATAAGAAAACTAGCAAACAGTCTTGGTCTATGTCTTGAATCTAAAAAGACTGTGCATTGGGTATGCAGCAATGAGAAGGTAATTCCAAAGGCATGGTACAAAGGCCCCGGTCACAAACGCCGTTGCCTATGATGGCAAGAGCAACTGATCAAGGCCTGTGACATTTCATAGGCAAGTTCTTGTATGAACAGGAGACCCTTCAAGTATCCTGGTTCTAAAATGTTTGGAACTTTCAAAGTCCTGATCAGCACTTAGTACATCTTGGGATAATATCATGCTGCATGCTAAAGCACAGAACCAAAAAAAGAGAAGATAATATTATACAAGGGCATTCTGGGTTCCAACCTCACCCACATTACATATGGTAAAATAGCAATGCTATGGCACTGAGTAGTTCAGAAATCTTCATACTCTGTGCTAAAGCTTTCAGAGTTTGGGTCTTGGTTTTATGTACTTTTGGTTTTTGTGTATTTTAATGTTATGGCACAATCAGAGGGGATGAAAGAATCCTGGGCTTCGGGGAATTGTCTCTTTGCGATTATTCCATTTTACTGTGCTTCTCCATTAGCAGAATCAGTGATAAAATCTGTGGAAACAAACAAGTCTAGTACTTTCATTGCCTCAGTGAGAGTTCTGTGGTTATCATTTTAAACCTACTGGAGCTCACTGGCTTGTATTGCAAGAAAGCTCTATCCTTGTATGAAGGGACTGGTTGTGCTGAGAATACTTCCTGGATTTTAGAAGTTACATGTAAATTAGGATATTTGTCCTGGTGTTGCATAAAATGACATAGAATGAAAATTATTTTACAGTTCACTTTCTTGCTTAAATGAGTGTAGCAGACATTTCCCCTCCCAAAAACCCCAACATGCGGTGTTAGTATTCCTGTGCGCTCTGCTTTTTGTCCTGTGGTTTATAGTTTCTTCATCCTTATCCTCACTGTCTGACCTTTCTGCTTGTGAAGCCTGTTTGATGCTGTTTGATGATTTGCTGTGAAGTCTCATTTCGGGCTTTACCACAGTCCAGTTGATGGCATTTCCTTAGCTAGTGTGAGTTTGATATGACAGAAAGGCTAAGCAGCCTTGGGCCAGTGACTAAGTGAGACACTTTTTCTTTGAAAGAGGGTTAGAATTCCATGATGTGCAATTGAATTTTTCTCATGCATAATAATTGCACTGATGTGCTAGGCTTTTAACTGAACACTGGTGCAGATCAGCTACAGTTTAGAGAGAAACTTGCTGATTATGGTATGTGTGGACTGATGGAGGAGGGAAAAAAGGGAAAATATACTATAGACAAATTGCAACAGAGTTTGGACTTATAACTGACAATGAATGTGTAAATTTAACGAGCTTTGAAATAGTTTGCTTTTTGCTTTTTGTTAACATAGAAGTAGTTTGTACTTCTTTGTTCTTTAAGCAATACAGAGAACTGGTATACATTTTTTAAAGTTCTCAGAGAGTTGCATAGTATGAATGCATATTGTCTCAAAGATGAAGCATATTGTTTTATAAATATGTTGCTTGATCATCTTCAAGGTTAAGATGGTGAAATCAGCATTTATTCATTAGCCTTCTCCATATTGTTTAGGGATTTTTATGTAGTTGCAATAGCACTACTTGGGGTAGTTGTCCACCTTTTGCACTACTTACATGGGGTCCTGCCTCTTGCCAACCGAACCCCTTTTCTCCTCTATTTCCTCCCCATGAGTACTTGTCTACAGGCATTTTAACCCCAGTGAATGGCTGTTTGGAAGCTTGTTCTGTATCTACTAGGTGGTTTCAAAGTTATTATATATATATGTATATTTTTTAAAGAAATAATGTCAACAATGTAGTCTTATGTGTTCTGAGAGTCACCAGATTGTGTAGCGTGCATATGTGTTTTGTTTTTTAATTTTTGTGTTTTAAAGCTTGGGAACTACAAAAAAGGGAATTGGTCCAGTGTATTCCTCTAAAGCAGCTCGAAGTGGGCTCAGAATGTGTGATCTAGTTTCTGACTTCAATGAATTTTCAGAAAGGTAACCTCTTCTCCAGAGTAATGTTACATTTCAAATACATATAGGGATGTCAGTTAACTTACTTTTAGATTCTGACATATTTTTAAAAAATATTTCTGGATCTGTTATTCATAAATTTCCATTTTTATATATCACTTAAGTCAGAATTGTGTGTTAGGTTTATTTGAAATGTTGCAAGCAGAACATAATGCAAAGATTAACTTTTTTACTTTTTAGATTCAAAGTCTTGGCCAACCAGTACAAGTCTATCTACCCTACTTTAGCGATAGACATTGAAGGAGAATTGAAAAGACTCAAGGTAAAACTATATCTGGAAGAGTTAAATTACTTTGGTGGCATGATGTTTGTAGACAGATTTTTCTTTGTGTATTCATTCTAATGAAAAGGAAGGGGGGAAATTGCTTCTGACACAATCAGGAAGCAAAGCTGAACTAACTATTATGCTAAATGCATGAGTTTTCTTTAGAAAGTGAAAAAGTGTTCAAGGGATTTGGTCTCCTTAATCAGTATTCTCCTGACCTCTAAAAAAGCATTTGTTTATCTTAGGGTTACATTGAAAGGATCAAACCAATGGTGAGGGATGGTGTATATTTTATGTATGAAGCTTTGCATGGCCCACCAAAGAAAATCTTAGTAGAGGGTGCCAATGCAGCACTGCTGGACATTGATTTTGGTAGGTATAACGATTATGAACTTCTTGCTTAGAAATATGATATACTATGTCCTAGCCATATTAATAGCAATGTGTGATTATGTATATGTGTGTATGCATATGATATATGTATGCAGGGCTCTTTTTGTAGAAAAAGCCCAGCAGGAACTCATTAGCATAATAGGCCACACCCAACAGCAGAAACTCATTAGCATATTAGACCACACCCCTGACAGCACAGCTCATTAGCCCATTAGGCCGCACCCCCATGTTGCCAGAAGTGTGGTTATCCAGCCACACCCACCTTTTGCTTGTTATTCTGTTTACCTTGTTTGTTGTCAAAACCCAGGGCTTTTTTGTAGCAGGAACTCCTTTGCATGTTAGGCCACACACCCCTAATGTAGCCAGTCCTGATGAGTTTCTGCTGTTGGGTGTGGCCTATTATGCTAATGAGTTCCTGCTGGGCGTGGCCAACTTGGGAGCCAGCCAGAACTCCATTCCTATGCGTTCCTGCCCAAAAATAGCCCTGTATGCATGTGTGTGTGGAGGGAGAAGATATGATATTGAAGTGTGTGACTATATTTTAGTTCTTATGCATTGTCTAAAGATATCAAAGCATGCAAGCTTTTTAACGCATGTATATCATTTTAATAACAAATAATATTGCTTGTTCTTTATCTCAAGCTGTCAGGTACTATTGTACATTTGATGATGGTGACTTCCACACTGGTTGTGTATTCTGAGTTCAATGCCGTCAGGATACAGTTTTTACTTCTTCCCCACTGCATTGTGGTACATTTGTGCACCTCCCAGGATTTCCCTGGTTTTCTCTGATCTTTCACAAATCTGCTTTGGGGAAAATTATAGTAGAGCCTGGATGGCTGCTGGATGGGTAGGAAAATTTGGGAGCCCCCCCCCACACACACACACGGCCACCATTTCCTCTTACTGTGTCTCAGTAGTGGCCATTTCCTCCCACTTAAATGGTCGCTAGTGTATTGTTCTGTCAGTGTATTATTTTAACCACATGTATAACAGAATTTCTGAATTCATTTTTAAAAAGTAAGTCTTCCCTAGCCAAAGATATAGGGGGAAAGGCTTATCTCCACAACAAAAGGGGCTAGATACTGGATTCTCCTGGCACTGGATTGTCGTCACTCATTTTTAAAATCTTTATTATATTTACTCTAAGGTACCTTTAGAGACTTTTGTGAGGGATACGAATATTTTAATAAATGTAAATTAATGGTGCCTCAAAGATCTGATTGCTATTCATTTATATTTCAGTGGTATGGCATGATACGCCACTTGTTATAAAACGGTGTGTTGCTGTTAGTTCATTCCTTTTCTCCCCCACCCCCCACATAGGTACCTACCCTTTTGTGACCTCATCAAATTGTACTGTGGGAGGTGTTTGCACTGGCTTGGGCATGCCACCTCAAAATGTTGGAGAAGTATATGGTGTTGTGAAAGCCTACACTACTAGAGTCGGAATTGGTGCCTTTCCTACAGAACAAGACAATGTAAGTATAATATTAAAGTGAATATGAGTATAGTATTAAAATGAACATGGGTAATTGGGCGAAATAATATGGATGTGCAAATCTTAATGATATGTAAGGTGTATAAGATTATACTGTCCCAGGCATCAGATTCTGTATTAAACGTATTATCTGAAATGTAACTTTCTGAGTTCACAGATTTGCTGCCTATGTATTTTACGAGTTGGATATGCTATTAAAACATTTTTAACTACTGCTTATTCCTCAGTCTTGCAGAGCCTATATTTTTGTTGGAGAGCAATCTAAGTTCTGTTCTTGCTCATGAATCAGCAGCAGAACTATTAATTAATTAAGTTGTAGAATCTTTATTACTAGTTGTGATGTACCAGAAGCAGTTTTCCTTTTTGATTCCAATCTGAATTAGCAGGACTAGCAATGTAAGATTTCCAAGGACTGCAGAGCTTCACAAACAATAACTACGCCTACAATAATCCTGTGAGGTATCAGGTAGGCATTATACAGCAGAATCAACATGGAGTGTTGAGAAAATGGCTTGATCACCTGATTTTTTTTTACATACTGATAATATAAACTTGGCATTGTAAAGGTTGCACTTGTATTTGCATCTTCACCCTAAATGGTAGTTTTTGTGCATCATGTGGGGGTGGGATCTTTTAAAATATACTTTGTGGTTTTCTATTGCCAACAAATTCTGGTTATAAATATAGAGTAACAATTTTTCAAGGTTCTGTTTTTCTTAGGAAACAGGAGAACTGCTGCAGACACGAGGAAAGGAGGTTGGTGTGACCACAGGTCGTAAAAGAAGATGTGGCTGGTTGGATCTTGTATTGCTTAGATATGCCCACATGATCAATGGATTTACTGCGTGAGTAATTCACAGTGATAATAAGATGATCTTCATTATGTAGCATATCACAGATTATAGTACATTGTGGCATTACTGACAAGAAAAGAACCAACCTTTCATGTAGAAAATAACAGTATTTTCAAAATCCCACTAAAGAATAAATAACTGGCTTTAGAAGTCATAAGCGATCAGCTGTTTGGACTACATTTTATTGTGATATCTTTTTTGTTGAGGAAAGGTTTTGTGCTAAATGTGTGTTGTGGCTTTAGGTACAGAAGAAGAAAAGGAAGGAAAAAAATAAGTAGAAAGATCATATTTCAGTTCTGACTTTTAAGATGATTTGATGCCAAATAATTTTCAAGTGTTGCCTTTAAGATTAGTAACTATATCAGGCTTCATTTTCCCCCAACTGCTGTTTCCTAGTCTTATTTGGAAAAATGTTCCAAGAAGTAGAATAGTGTTGAATGTGTGTGCAGTGTCAGTTCTGAAGGTTATTCCCGTTTTGGAGTGTTACCTAACACTACCTTGCAAGCTTGTTTAGCCAACACAATTGTATTTTACTGATCTGAATCCAGCACATACTATGTTTCAATAACACAGCATTTGTGGGAGATTGTATAACAAGTACAGGAGTGTTGGGCATGATCAACTGCCCTTCACAAATATCCCTAGCCTGTATCCTATCAGCCTGTTCAGCAAAGTTTGAAGCCTTCATCCATTCTAGCCTTCCTTCAACACAAATTGCTCTTCCTCAAAAGGAAAAGCCACATGCTCAAGGGTGGCTTCTTAGGCTGGAAGATGACTTCAAACTTTGAGTGGACTGGCAGAATGCCAGACCCTTAAACTAGCCTGAACACTATCTGGATTATCAGTTGCATATACCAAAGGTCAGAAGCTAGAGAACAACAGTATCTACATATTTTTCAGTAGTGACATAAAAGGTTATCAGCTATGGAAGGAACTTATAAAAGGAGGGGAGGTCAGAAAGGAGTGGAGAGGCATAAGGAAAAACAGGTGAGAAAATACCTTGTGAGGGGAGAATGGCTTTTGGAGCAGATCAGTTCTGTATCTTTCATGTAAGAGCTTCTTTTCCTACTGTGATGTGGATTGTGGCTGCTGTTCTACAGGAGGCAGGAAAAGTTCTCTGTGTTAGAGCAGATATCTTTGTGGTGTTGCTGGGAACCTTGAAGACACATTGAATGTAAAGTTCAAGGTACCATCTGTAAGATACACGGGCATTTGTAATTTTAGAGGTTCACATCGTTCATAAAGCTATATAGAGAAGAAATTTAGGGGAACTGAGTTAGCCTATTCCTTATGCAAATACATTGGCTTAAGTGGCTTGTTTGTCACATAAATTTACAATATTTGTAAATGGTACATATCCATATTCTCCCCTCACACTGTGTACACTTTCTTAAAATAAATATTCACTTACACATTTATAGGTACTTAACTAAAATGTCATTATTTTATTTAATAACAGATTGGCTCTTACCAAATTGGACATTTTGGATGTATTTCCAGAAATTAAAGTTGGTATTGCTTACAAAATAAATGATAAAATGATACCTCATTTTCCAGGTGAGTTCTTGTTTGTTTTCATGTTCTAACTTATCTCTGATTAAAGTGTTCACAAGATTCAGATCATGACTTTCCTTCATACTGAAGTCCTAATTAACTTGCTAGAAGATTAAAAGCCGGTACAAATCCATAAATAAGACTGAACTAAGGTACCATATCTTAATTAAAAGCACAGCAACATTAAATCAATACAATCCAAAAGCTGTCAGTATTAAACAGTTTGTATCGCATCCCTGGAGCATATAAAAAATGGGTGCCAGATGACCTCACTTGGGAGGGTAATTCCACAGCTGGGGTCTGCAACAGAATAGGCCCTTGCACAACAACCTAACCTCTGCAGGTGAGAGCATTTGAAGCAGGGTGTCAGTAGATTATTGCAGTGAATTGACAGCTTCACATTATTCCAGTGAATCGGCAGCTTCAGATCAGACCCAGACCAGCCAAAGGCAGCATCATATTAAAAAAGGCAGTACTTCAGGTACTCTGGGCCTAAGCCATTTGCTGCTGGAATTACCTCAGAGTAATATCTGCAGTTCATTGTAATTACTTTTTGATGTAGCTGGCCAGTCTTGGTGCCCATACCATTAGTTATTTCTGCTCATGATCAGCATTAGAATGTACAGAGTAGTGAGAATTAGTCTAGGGTTTTCTTCTTCTTTCACTCCATCTCACCTGTGCAAAGGACTTGGAGGAAAACTGATATTTTTAATCTCAGTAAGTCTGTTACTGAGTCATTTGAGACAGCCTTGACTGTTTTGGACAGCTAAACTTCTGTGTGTCCCCCCCCCCCCTTCATAGTTTTAGCATACTTACTGAGATTAAAAATCTGAGTTTCTGAAAGTGAGTCCTGATACAAGTTCATTAAAGTGTTACTTCTCTTAATCCTTTGGGTCACTTGGGGAGGCAGATGTGCCCAAGCTGAATTATTAAACCAGTTGCTAGTCTTGATGTCACTGACAGCAAAACAAACTAGCACAATAAAATTTACATTTGTACATCATTGTTATGCTTCTTCTCAGCAAACCAGGAAATCTTAAATAAAGTAGAGGTACAATATGAGACACTTCCAGGATGGAACACAGACATATCAAATGCAAGGACGTTTGATGATCTTCCTGTACATGCACAAAACTATGTTCGATTTATAGAAATGGAGCTAGGTGTTCCAGGTAAGAAAAGTGGACATATGCTTCAAGTGACCCATTTGAGACAGAAATTCTTCCAAGGGAACACTTTGAAACTCAACATTACATAACAGATATTACTCCCAGCTATATTTGTGTCCTTTTTGCAGCTATATTTGTGACCTTTTGTGTCTATAAAGTATAATTGTTAGTACTGTAATGGGTAAAGTACAGTTCAGTGAAACTGATGCATCAAACTCTGGATGCTCAGCTTTCTGAACTGGTATGGATCTTCCAGTTTATTTGGAAACTGGTTTACTTTTTGTTTCCCAGTCACTTTACTGTTTTATCGTATAAAAGACAATTGTCTTAATCTGTAACAGTTAGTAACTTATTGTTGCAATTACTGTTCTGTAGTAAAAATAGTAATTGATAGTTTTAAGATGGATTTGTTGGATTTGCATACCCAGTTTAGCTAACGTGCCATCCATTGAGAAACCTGATAATTCCATATTCCACATTTGTTTTTAGAAGTCACAGTTATTACTGGCAATTTTTCAGTTTTAAGAGCAGTTTAGCTTGATTGAGAATGCTACAGTTTAGTATGTTAGATGTTTCAATATGATTTACCAAATATGTAGTTTTGCCAGTGAAGTTTCTCTGGACCAGCTGGGCAACTGCACAGAGTAATCCAATACACATTTGGTCCAGAGATTATTTGTAGTTATTGAAAAGCCTACTAATTTAGGAAGATATTATGGTTTCCCTAAAATGGTGAAACAGCCATTCCTTCAGTGTTTGATGCAGAAAATGTTTTTGTATTTGCAGTGAAATGGATTGGAGTAGGAAAGTCCAGAGAGTCAATGATCCAGCTCATCTAAAGATACTGGATTCTTGGAAGAAAGCACACTCCTCAAAGAGATGGCTCACTCCTTTTTTTTCTTTCTCCTTATCATAGCCCACAGACTGTGACTTTTGGAAGGATGGGCCTTGTATGTTAAAGAGCTATAGACAAAGAGCTGTAAACAACAACTGCTCCTTTATAAAGTTTTTGGCATTTGTCAGTATCATTTCTTATCGCTTCACAAATTCCAGAACATTTGTCACAGTTGCCACCATTTGTCTTGCTGCCTACAGATTTTTCTTTCAGATGTTTATCCCAACTCTTTATTTGAAAATCTAAGATTGCATTACTTTCATGACCATGTGTCTTTATTGCCTCTGGTTTTGGTGATGTTTCTTCATGAATTTTTAGATGCTTAAAATAATTAATGCAGTTTTGCACAGTTTTTCATTGTCATTTGTACTCCTTAAGCTGTTGTTAATTGTATGGCTGCTGTTGTCATGCGTGATTTAAAAAGAGGGATGATTTTATAATGATGAAGAAAACTAAAATTTTGTTACAGTTTTTATTAAAGCTAGTATGATGATGAGCTGGGAATTTGGAAGAGGTGCTTGATATGTATATAGTGCAACAACTTAATTTATAAATGAAGATACTCAAAACATGTTGCAGGTGTGTAATGCTCACTACTCTAAGGAGTTCATAATAGTTTGTCATAATACTTTTGATTTTCTGCTTTTTGTCATTCAGTCCAATGATCCATCAGTTCATAAGCCTAATGCCAAATGCAGCCAGTGCCAGTTATTTAAAGGATGACAGGAAATATAATGAACAATTGTTGCATAGAATATGAACGTACAAAGTTCTGGCAGTCGGCCACTGAAGACAATGAGGTTTTTGTTTGTTTTTAAAGTCTGAATGTATTATTGTCAATTACGCAAAGACAATACAATAATCTTATATCTGTGTCTTGCAAAAGCCCTTCATTTTGATTTTAGCACTCACCTGTTAATTTGATCACTTACCTTGCAGCTTTTGGTACTGTAGAGGAGTAACTTGTTCCATTGCTTTCCCACCACACTTTTCAAGTGTCTCAAGACTATTAATGACTTCTTTTTTCCTCCGTGATCATTGCTTTGGAAAAAATCCTCCTATATTTTTGCTCATTTCAGTCTTTTTTTTCATTGCAGCGAAATTTTTTTTAAATGGGGGGGAGCACTGCACACATTACTCAGGACATGGGTATACACTGATATCTTGTTAAAGGGTTGTAGCTGCTGATTAGTGCTTGAATACTACTATGCTTAAACAACAGTGATAAACTACATGGCTGAAAAATGCCAAATTTCCCATTGCCCTAGTCTCTAAAAATTGGATACCCATGACTAGGAATTCAACATAGTTTTTCAGTTCTGTTTATGACTGTAATGCATGAAATGATCCAGATAATACATTTTAAAGACTTCAGCTGTGGGCCTGAGTCTTGAAAAATCTGTTCGAGTGTTTGAACTCATGATCAAGAGTATCATGTCATTTTATTGGGCAGGGGGAGAAGGAGGGCTTAAACTATTTTTCTGTGAAAATGCCACCCTCACTTTCTGTGAAAGCTGGCAGTAATTTGTGACCATGGTGTCAGCAGTACATGAATAAACAGGTGTTTGACTATCTTTCATGTGCTCCATTCCTGTCACAGCCTTATGTTAGTAGAACTCTCACAGACTTCCAGTCTTATGTGAGACATCCCCATTTTAACACTATGCCATTTAGCATTTTCTGGTAAAAAGAGCTGAGATTTTCTGTGTACTCACTAATTTTACTGCCTAACCCCAACTAACAGAATAATAAATTTGTTATAACATGAGTAGCATTTTGGGAAAGAGGGACTGCTGTGCCTCAAAATATAGAACCATTTTAAGACTATATGATTTTTACTTTTTCCAAGTGCCTGTAAGTCACAAATTTTCCCTCTAGTGTAATGTGTAACGCAAAGCTATTTTAGGAAAACAAACTGTTCTAATTTTAATAATGTGTTTGGTGAGATATAGAGCATGCGTCCTCTTTGTGACTCAACTATGCCTATTCAGATGCTCTTATACCTTAATAATGTTAATAATATGACATTACTTTTTATCTCTTTTCTGATGTTTCTGATATTTTATTCTTTGATCAGTGAAAGTCAGCTGAACTTACGTTTTCAGCCATCTATCCATTGCAAGATTTAGTTTTTGGGTAGTTTTTTTTAACATAACCCAGCATTGAGTCTTAGAAAAGCATTATGGTGTTTTGATATTGGGAACAAGGCTTATTAGTAATTCTTCCAAATTTCTTGCAAGAATTTGGTTTCAGGTTCAACCTGGCCTCCTTTCTGGATTGGCACTGATGCATTAGGAATCTTCTTCTGGATTTGATTTCTAAGCTTGCACAGAATATACAAAACAAATACATCATTTTTTGTACTCCAGTCCTTTCTTGTCATGTCCCCTCTCGTCCTAGTGAGTATTTTAATAATAATCATGACTCATATATGCATGGTTAATTTCCATAGTAGGCATACCATAGAGTAAATGTGTGCTGTTTCTTTCGGTTGGTGTAGTTTTTCTAGTTACCTTTGCTGTGAAGCCCTCCTGCGCATTAATTAATTATAAAATTTTATTTATGAGATTACATGTTTCTGCATATAGAAAACATTATTTTATGGTTTACTTCGTAGTGTGCTACAAACACATGAGCTGTATATTTGATCTCATAGATGGTTTTGAAAATGTATAAGAATCTGTGCACAAGAAGCACCAGTTTTTAAAAAGTGCCAGTCCTCTTCTAGTTTCCAAGACTTTTCTCTTGCCTCCAGTGATAACACATGCTTGTATAAATCCCTTAGTATTTGTCTCAGAATTTATTTCCCTTGTAACAGTTATTTTTGTGGATGTGTCTTAACTGCAAACTTGAGGCAGTAGTTGTAACTTTCTCGATTTGTTATTTTCTACAGTAAGGGTAATGGGGAAGTGGTTTGTAGAGTTCTACAAAACAGTATTTGCATTGTCAGTCTCTGCTTCCTCCAACCTTTCAACCAGGGGTCGTTTCGTAGAAAAAGAGCTAGGGGAACTCATTAGCATAACTCATTAGCATATCCCACACCCCCTGACATCACCGGAAGTGTGTCATAAGGCCACACCCCCTGACATCACCAGAAGTGTGTCATAAGGCCACACACCCCGCCCCCAATGGTCCCGGCCGCCGGCCTTGCAGCTCCACTGCAGAGCCCCATGAGGGGCCCGGGGCGGCCGGAAGCAGGGGGCGGGGCTTTATCATGTGCCCCGCCCCCGTACCTCACCCGGGGAAACTGATCCCCCACGATCCCCCCCCCGAAATGACCTCTGCTTTCAACCAACTTGTTCATTTTATGGTTACATCACAAGATGGAACTTGGCTGGACGTTCTTTAATAGGAAGTATCCTCCATTTCTCAAGTGAGCCATAAAATGATCCTTTTCATTCTTTACATTTTGTCAAATATTGTGGAATCATCCTGGAGGATACCCAAAAGTAGATATGATCCTAGCTACCATCCTGGTTCAGTTTGAGGTATTTCCAGCTGAAAGTATCAGGTAGTAGGTGATGTAAAAGATCACAGCCTGAGACCCTAGAAAGCTGCTACCAGTCAGAGTAGAGTAACCACCCCTTGATACACCAATGTTCTGACAGTATATGGCAAATTCATGTGTATGTGTGAAATGTGCTTTTAAAAAACTGTTTAATACTCTGAAATACTTTATATTCTCTTCCTCTGTGTCAGTGAACTGTAGCGTTTGTGCAGAAAGGTGAAAAATCCAAATACAATTAAATATCTAATTGAAAATGCAAATAGTGTCACTGTAATTAGAGACCAAGGTGTGTTACCTTAAAATAATTCTCTGTGCAAAGCAGAAGAAAGGCAGAGTGAAACTGTGTCCAAGCAGAAGCACAAAATAATAATGGAGTGATCAGAAGAAATATTTTAATATAAGAACATAAGAGAAGCCAATGTTGGATAAGGCCAATGGCCCATCAGTCCAATACTCTGTCACACAGTGGCCAGAAATACCAGATGCCATCAGGAGGTCTACCAGTTGGGTTTGGTAAAATTAAGTGTTTTTTCATCCTAGGATGGAGAAAGACTAGTAATTTATTTCTGGGATGCTTCCTACACTACTTATTATATCGTAATCACTTCTTCCAAGGAGCTCAGGATGGCATACATGATAGGGAAAAAAAGATTAAGAGTGGGACATGATGGAATAATGGTGTGAGGAGAAGGATGCAGAGAACTCTTTTTCGCTCTCCAATAATAGTAACCCTTGGAGACACCCAATGAATTTGATGGGCAATAGATCTGAACCAAAAAAAAAGAAAACACTTCTTTATTCAAGTAACTAAACTATGGAATTCACTGTCAGTGAACATAATGATGACTATGAGCATAGATGGCTGGGGATTGGACAGATTCAGGGAGAATAGGCCCATCATCATATACTAGCTATGGTAACTAAAGGTAATCTCCATTTTCAGTGGCTCTGGATACCAGGGCAACATCAGTGGCAGGCCTTGGCTTCTATGTCATGTTTGGCTCTCCAGGGCAACTGGTTGCCCACTGTATGACACAGTATGCTGTACAGATGGATCACTGGTTTGATCCAGCAGGGCTGCTGTTACGTTCTTATCCCATCCCCATTTTATCTTCACAACAGCCCTGTGAGGTAGCTTAGGATGACGGGGACTGTTCCAAGATCACTCTGACAGCTTCATGGTAGACCAGGGATTTCAAACCTGTATCTCTTCAGTCCTAGTCATACACTATTATACAAAACTGGCTGTTTTCTTGCTTGTGTTGAGTTTTTGCAGCTATGGAAGGTCACGTAGCAGTTACACAGCTAATATTGATTATTTTACTCTTATCTCCATTTCATCATTTTGATATGTGTCACTAATAGCTTTTCCATATCTTAAAATTAATTCCCCAGGTTTCAGAGCAATGCAGAGTGTATTTACAATTGCCACAAAACCTATGTAGTGCTAGAGGTGCTTCCAGCAGAAGCAATCTTGAAAGACACTTCCATATTGGTGATGTTGGGTTTTCAGATGCAAGAACTTATCCAATCCCCATAAATGAAGGTTTAACTTTTCCCCTCTTCATGGCAGAAGTGCTTTTCCAAACCGATAATGATTCAGCATCAGTTCTTGGGAGACCCTTAATTTCAGCTGTGTCTGTAATTAGAACAAACAGTTACTGGTCTGTTATAAAATTCAGTGCTTAATGACATCAAGCAGCAGCTCCCCTG